AACTCTAAACCTCTGAACCCTAAACCCCGAACCCTGAAGCCTTCAGCTTCTTCTTGCTCGCGAGCATGACTCCAGAGATGAAATACTTCCTGACTCTTATAGGATTTAGGGTTTAGGGTTTAGGGTTTAGGGTTTAGGATTTAGGGTTTAGGGCTGAGGGTTTAGGGGTTTAGGGCCTGGGGATTTAGGGTAAGCTTGCGGTGTTGCTAGGAGGGACTGATGGCATGAAAAGAAAATGAGCTGCAGTCTAAGGTCCCCAAAGGGGTCCTATAGGGATGCATTTAGGGTTTAGGGTTTAGGGTTTAGGGTTTGGGGGGAGGCACGGAAAAAGAAAATGGAAACTCCTATGTAAAACCTAGGGTTTAGGGCCTAGGGCTTTAGTGTTATAAGGGAATGAGCAAGGGAAAAAATCGGGGGGTGTAGGTTCACAGGGGCTACCATGACGATCCACTCCTCCACTCCCTACTCCCAACGGATACGTATTGGGGCAGTGGGGTGTGGATCGCTAAAAAAACACCTATCATTCCCATATGAGCATATGAGCTACGGCCAATATTTCCCCACATAGTTAATAGACATCGGTCCTTATGAGGTAATATCTTAGGGACTCGTCTAAACTACCACGGCGTGTCTATGTCCACCCCGAATGATCCCGTGTAGTGCATGATGGTGACAGTAGCTCATATGAGCTATAGTCTAAACTCCTAGTATCCCCCTTAATAATCCCTATAGTAGACCCCCTATATAATCCCCTATATAACCCCTTTAAGGAGTTTAGACTATGGCTCATATGGCAAGGACCCTATGAGAGCCATATGGCAGTCATTGGATCCTTGCTTTAGGGGTTTAGGTTTAGGATAACTAAGCCCCTGGCTCCAACGACCATAGGGTTTAGGGTTTAGGGTTTAGGGTTTAGGGTTTCGGGTTTAGGGTTTAGGGCTTGGTTTCAAGACCCACACGCTCCAAAAACCCTAAACCCTAAACCCAAAAAAAACGAACCTCTGCGCCCAGTTGCGCCACGGCCTACCTCTTAGTAGGACATCGTGTTAATGTACACTAACTGGACCCCAAAAGTATGTAGAATAACTGCCGTCTAGGCTATCTGTAAGGGTTTGGGGCTATTTTTTTACCTACTTCTGGGGTCCAGGTATACACTCCCTACAATCCCTAAAGCCAAATATGGACAGGATTATAGACCCTAAGCGGGCGAATGCACACAAAGACCAAAGCTACTGGGTCTTAGTAGGGAATAAGGGAAAACAATCCATATATGATCCCCGCATAATATGTTCCCTTATTCCCTACTAAGAACCAGTAATCGCTCAAGCCTCAGATTTCGCAAGCCCAAAAACCTATACTGGTTCTTGGTAGGCAGGATGGCAATACATTATACAAGAATTATGTAGGGATTGCATCCCGATACTCCCAGAGAAGCCGTAAAAAAAAAGTGGAACTAGACTACTCAAAGCCCTAAACCCTGACCGTCAAACCTGAACCCTAAGTAGTAGTTTCCATTTTTCCATTATCCCTATATAACCCGTGTATTATACCCCTTTATAAAAAAGCCCTGCGCTCAAGACGCCTGGGCTGACTATTTCGCGAGGTTCTCTGCCGCTTCCTGGGACCAGGTTGCCCAGTAAGCCCTTGTTAAGGGTTTAGGGTTTAGGAGTTTAGGGGTTTAGAGGTTTAGGGTTTAGGGTTTAGGGTTTAGGGGTTCAGGATTTAAGGGCTTAAGGGTTTAAGGTTTCCTAGTGTTCAGCTTTAACAAGGAGACCCCAATATAGAAAGGGAAATAGGATACTACCGGAGTACCTAGGGACACTTGGGAGTTTGCCACGGTTTACAGCTTTAAGGGTTTAAGGATTCAAGGGGTTTAGGGCTTTCGGATTGAAAGGTTTGAGGCTTTAAGGGTTTAAAGCTTTCAGGATTTAAGGGTTGAAGGATATAAGGGTTTGAGGATTTAAGGGTTTAAGGGTTGTAGGATTGAAAGGCTCAGAGGTCTAAGATCTTTTGGTTTGCGTAGGGTTTAAGGGCTTTCGGGTGCTTAGGGCTTATGTTTAAAGAGTCGGACTGGGGTGCAGTGCGGTTGGTTGGGGGGCGCTTGCAAGGCACGAGGGCTGTCGGCTAGACCCGCTTTTGATGCATGCCTCGTCGATTACTGGGCATAATCGACATCCCGCATCACCTGAAAAAAAACTATAGCACCATAATTCCCAAGGTTTGAGGCACCCAAGGTCATGCAGGATTTTTCTATCCACCGGGACCTGCATAGAGAAAACTGGCAAGACATTGGGAGAGGATCAAATCAAAGATACCAAAGATGGATGTTTTGGGTAGATGGGCTGATGGCAAGATGTTTTTTCCCATGTGTTTAGGGTTCGGGTCAGGGCTTAAGGTTGTTTAGGCTCCGCGTTCCCGGTTTCAAGTGTCAATACCAAAAGCAAAAAATGAGTATTGCCTCACTGCCTTGCTAAAGGCAATGAAGGCTCTGTGCCCCCAACCAGGGTAAACCTTTTGGCGACAACTACTGTAGGGGGGACTGACCTAAGGCTTCCCCCTATTCAAGCGTTTTAGAATTTAGGGTCGGGTTTAGTGTTGAAGCTACCATCTAGCCACGGCAGCAGCGAGAAACCCCTACGTTGCTTCGAGCCCTACACAGGAAGTCCTAATTCCCTGAACCCTAACTTTATGGGGTGTAATTAGGGATAATAAGTCAAACCTTAAAACCCCCAACCCTTGACCCCTGAAGCCAAACAAACCGGAAACCCTTGAAATTCTAAACCAAAAAAACCTTAGAAATCCTAAGTCTGGGTTTCCCACGGTTGGCCTCCCCGATGCTTACACCCAAGATGCTCTAATCCTTATAAGTACCCTGAATCCTAAACCTTCAGCAGCTTCCCAAAGCTTCTCAAACCCCTGAACCCTAAACTCCTAAACCTCTGAGCCCTAAACCCCTAAAACCCCTCAAACCCCTCAAACCCCTCAAACCCTAACCCCCAAATCCCTAAACCCCTAACCCCTAAACCCCCAAACCAGAGCTTCTCAAACCCGCCTCTCCGGCTCCACGTCCTCGCGCGCCGGGCGGAAAGGCCCAAAGCCGTTGGCCCAAGCGGGTCTGTCCTTCAGCCAATATGGGGGCATACAGGCAGATGTAGGCTTAGGGTTTAGGGTTCTGGGGCTTTGGGGTTTAGGGGTTTTGGGGTTTAGGGTTTTGGGGCTTTGGGGTGTTTAGGGGTTTAGGTTTTGAGTTTGGGGGGTTATAGGGTCTAGGGTATACAGGCAGCTAGAGGTACCTTTGGACGTTTACAAAAGCGAGGGGTACCATTTTAGGGGTCCCTATAGGGAGGATTATAAGGTATTGGGGTCTAAATTGGGGTCCCCTTGTTTCTGGACAGCACGATGTGAGCACTGTGTTGCGGATATACAGGCTTTATATAGGATCCATGGGGTTGTGCGGTTGGGGTTGAGAGGGTTCTACAAATTAGGCATCCCTTTTTTGGGATGCAAGAAGGGCTATAGCTGTTTGGTGGCTTTTAAAATCTTGGGGAGTTACTGTTTGTGGATTGTTCGAAAAACGCCCCCCAGCCTGTATGAGAAACGAACTTACCAATGCTAAGTAGACTCAACAGCAATCCATCGAATCACCGCAGACAAGGCATTCCTGAACGCGCTGGGCTTCAGGTGTCAGATGTCGAGTAGTTTAGGGTTTAGGGTGTAGGGATCTGGATTTAGGATATTGTTGGCAATTCCAGGTGGCGCTAGATTTGAGACCTCACGTACTCGAACCATGCTTGAGCACGACGTTCGTAGAATTGGGTGCCAAATCCCATGTACTCAGTTCCTCCATTCCAGGGTCAGTATTCTGCATCTTCCATTCCCGAATCAGCGTGTTCTGCATTTTTACTCGATGCCAAGCTAAGTGCCCAAAGCCCTGCTCCTCAAGCCCTGAAACCACATAGTCCCCCTTGAGTACATGGAATATGATCTATATGGGATCTTATTATGATTTTGGGGAATTCCGTGTTCTATCTACTCAAGGGTGACTATACCTCTCAACCCTAAACCCTGTATTCTATCTACTAACATCAACCTGTAGCTTCCTGAACTCCAAACATCAAGAGCTTGTTGGGAACCCCTATGTTGAGTACGAGCTACTCTACACCCGTAACACTCAAAAACCCAACCCTTGCCCTCTAAACCCCCCTAAACCCTAAGCCCTATCAACCCTAAACATGAGCACATTAACTCCCTAGGCTCAAAATCCATAGACCTTGAAACCCTAACCCTTTAAACCTCTAAACTCCAAAGTAAACCCATAAGCCGTTACCCCTATAAACCCACAAGCCCGAAACCCTATATAAGCCACCGAATAGTCCATTGCATGTTCCATGTTGTGCATGTGCTTGTGAATTATTACTGGGGTACACCCTTGCTGAAACCTAAACCCATCAAACCCAACAACCTCCAGGAGCACCGGAAGCAACGCTTACTCCTCCCCAACTCTGCGCAAAACCCGAGAATGAACTTACACGGACACAGACACACTACTTGGAGGTTCTAAGAGGGGATAGAAGTACCCTAAATTAAGTGGCAAGTTGTGTAGTTAGCTATACCACTCAGACCTTCCAATACCAAAGAAAGAATCCCAAACCCTAAACCCTACAATATCCTAGAAGCCCTCCTTGTAGGAGACACCCGTCTGGTAGTAGCTGTCCGGACATCCAGGAGCAACCAGGTTCCTGCCACACAGCTGTTACCCTAAACCCTAAACCCTAAACCCTAAACCCCAAACCCCAAACCCTAAACCCTAAACCCTAAACCCTAACACTTTTAATCCGAACCAACCTTGGCCATGTGGGCGCTGAAAGATCTGGCACAGAGGGGGCATGCTATGGAGTAGCACTAAAAACCCTTTAAACCCTTAAACCCTAACTTTAAAACTCTAAACCCCTAAACCCTAACTTTAAAACTCTAAACCCCTAAACCCTAACTTTAAAACTCTAAACCCCTAAACCCTAACTTTAAAACTCTAAGCCCCTAAACCCTAAGCCCCTAGGCCCTAAACTGCGCAGGGAGCAAATTCTTCCAAACTCTGCAGACCGCTAAACGGAGGCAAGGCTTTGGCTGTTGCGAGTTTAGGGTTTAGGGTTTAAGGTTTTATGGAATTAGGGTTTTAGGGTTTAGGGTTTTAGGGATTGAGGGGTTTAGGGTTTTAGGGTTTTAGGGTCAAGGGTTTTAGGGTTTTAGAGTTTAGGGTTTAGAGTTTAGGGTTTAGAGGGCTACCTGCTTCAGGCTCAGCAGGACCGAGAAGACGCGCCCTAAACCATGTCATGTTTAGGGACCAATCTACATGGCATAGGAAATTTTGGGGCACATTTTGCTACAGTTGTACAAGGATCGCCAGGGAGCAATAGAGATCCTGAAGGCATTAACCCTTATAAAGCCCTAGAGCATAAACCCAGAATCCAGTCATTCAACCCGCTACCGTGCGAGTCCTAAAACCCTGGACTCTGATCCCGAAACCCTGAACCCTAACCCTAATCCCTAAACCTTAAACCCTAATCCCTAAATAATCCTTAAACCCTAAACCCTTATCCCTAAATAATCCCGGAACCTTAAACCCAGTTCCCTAAGTAATCCCTAAATTTAAACCCTCATCCCGAAACAACCCCTAAACCTAAACCCCAAACAGTGTGGGAGCCTTCCTGTGTCCTCCAAGCCCAGGGATAACAGAAACCTCAGGTGACGAACCGTTGAGCCTACAGGGGTCCAGGGTTTAGGGTTTAAGGTTTGGGGCTTAGGGTTTAGGGCTCAGGGCTTTAAGGGGTCGAAGGGGTTTAAGTACTCAAAGTTTGGAGTTTACGATACCGATTCAGCACCTATAGTGAGGATCCTAACAGAGCCGCATGGCAGCTGCACCCTAAACCCTAAAACACAGGCCAAATAGTTAAAAAGATCATGTTGCGGTCTGTTTGAAGTACCCTAGAACAAAACTGTACGAGGAATCTGGGACCATGATCTTGAAGTTGTCCCTGTAAATCCCTACAATATGCCCTGCTATTCCATGTCATCTTCATAGCCCAAACCCTGAACCCCAAACCCTAAACACTAATCCCTCAAGTCAAGCACTTAAACCCTAAACCCTAAACCCTAAACCCGAAATACCCCTTAACCCTAAGCCCAATAGAACCCATACATAATCCCAATAAACCTAAAGCCCTAACCCCTCTACACCGAAGGCTGAAACCTCTCAGCTTCACCAAAGGACGGGGCCGTTTCCTTTGCAAAGTCTTCAGGACTCCGCTGCTGGAGGCACCAGGCCTTCTCCTAGGTCAAGGGTTTAGGGGTTTGGGGGTTTTAGAGTTTAGGGTTTAGGGGTTTAGAGTTTCGGGTTTCGGGTTTAAACCTTCGGGATTGGGCTTCGGCTTCAATACTTGGGGTTTGAAGCCTATATAGAATGTAGGGGGGGTAGGGAATGGGGATACGGGAAATGATTGGGACCATGATTGAGGATTCGATCCGGCTTCTATAGGGATCCAGTCCACAATTCCTCATAAAGCACTGAATAGTCTTCTGGTATGGAGTTTTGGGGTGTGGGGCGTCGAATTTGGGGCTTAGGGCTCAAAAGCCCGAATCGGTTCAAAGTATTCGGGGTTCTTCAAAGCAGACAATAACAGTTGAGAGTCCAGGGTTTGGAGCGCGGGCACGTCAAGGCATGTAGGTAGCAAAATGCCATAAAATGAAAAGGGGCTGAGGGTCAAGAGCTTTGTGTAGCGGTAGCAGCAGCAGCAGCAGCAGCAGCTGTCCAGGATAGATCTCTTGATCCAGACTCCTGCAAAACTTTGTGTTTTCTTCAGCACCTCCAGCCCTTGGGTGGTGCAAGTCTTCCTCCACCAACAATAGAGGAACCCTGTGCTCTATGTCGTTGCTTTCAAATAAACTACCTACTTCATGTACCCGAATTCCTACCAACTACTTTCTATTCCCCGTTTCCAAGTCATGTTCCGATGTCTTTTCCAACCCTAGGCCCTTAAACTGTCTACGTTCCTCGTCGGTGGTGCAGCTCTCAGCGAGCATATCAGTGTTGACCTCAGAGGTGGCCCATCTGAGTTTTGCTTGTTTAGGGTTTAGGGTTAAGGGGTTTAGGGTTTAGGGTTTAGGGGGCTTGGAGGTTAGGATTTAAAGCTTTAGGGTTTCGGATTTTGAGTAGCGTTTTTGTTGGTGGTTGAACCTAGTAAGATTATATAGGGATTAGGTTTTAGGGTTTAGGGTTTAGGGTTTCAGTTTAGGGTTTAGGGTTTAGGAATTTAGGGTTTAGGGTTGAACCTAGTAAGATAATATTCCATATATGAAATACTATTACTATACCCCAAAAGGAGGATATTATCTTACTCTATATTGGGTACCATAGTATCCCTTAATCAAACACTACTCATCTTAGTCTTGCTTGCGGTTTGGGGCTTGGAGGTTAGGATTTAAAGTTTTTGGGTTTCGGATTTTGGGGTTTGGGCCTGTGGCTTGCGGGGTTCAGGAATTTTGGTTTGCAGGGTTTGGACTTGGGGTCTAATGTTGGGGGGCTTAGGACTTGGGGCTTAGGATTTAAGGCTTGGGGTGTGGAATGTAGACCTCTGCGTGATGAGGAGCTGCTTTTTTAGAGTATCGAATATCAAGTTTCATATCTTAATCCCGTGGAAGGAAACAAATTTGTCAATCAGGGGTCTACAGTGATTGTTCGCAAAAGCACTTCGCACGACAAGGTGCTGGAGGATGGTCTCATGGCTCATCGCGTAGGGGCCCAAAAGAAACGAGCTTGTCTTTGGTCAGAACCCGTGGACTATTTGGAAGCGCATGGGACTTACCAATTGCCTTGAAACATGTTTGAAAATCGGGCAACCCATATGATGCTAGTCAGCAGGATAAAAATAAGTGTATATCCCCGCTTGCTACTGACGCTCCGAGTATGAGGGCCGCTTACGTTTGCGTTGCCCTCTGCTGGCTCTGAGACCCTGAATCCTACACTAACCCCAAAATTAGAAACCCTCGCGTAACTTCATGTAAGCCCAAGGCCGAACTATAACCCCTGTCATTGCATCTTCGGGCCATACGCCTTGACCTGGAAAACCTTGAGAGGGACAAGTCAAGTTAACGGCTGCATGGGTTGCGTGAAGGCCTAAACTTGGGGCCCTGTAGCAGGAATCCAACTCTTAAACCCAAACCCCTGAACACTAAACCCCAAACCATAGGGCAAAAGCAAAAGCACAAACCTGCTCAAACCCCAAATCAAAATCCCGCCCCCCAAGCTTTCGGCCTGAACCTTATACAATTTGTATAAGCCGAAATGGGCCGAAACCTGAGACCTTCTTGTGTGAACCAAGACACCACACCCGGGTCAAGGGTCACTGCTGCGATGTTGGCAGACTGGAGCTCCAGAGCCAATGTCCTTGGTTTAGGGCCCAATGCGCTAGGTTGGCCCCTAAAACCCATTGAAAAATATTAGTATATATGGTCCCCTATTAAAGCCGTTAGAGAAAATAGTAAATATCCCAGGGGCCTAACCCAGTTCGGGGATAAGTTTTGGTTTTCTGATGGGTATAATTCGGGATCACTGTTTAGGGATGGGTACGCATGTAGCTGCTGAAAAACCAGCAGACGCAACCTCGGCAGAGCCCAAAAGTGACCGACAGCTTCAGTAATGCTCCTTCGGTCTAAAACCATGGTACTCTCTTGGGATTCCCCATAGAAAGGATAATACATTGGGTTATTCCCCCTTACAGTAACTGTTACCACAAGGGGTTATAGGAATTATAATAGCCCCTTAATAAGGCCCCCTTTAAGGACAGTTACTGGGTGGGGGAATGACCCAAATAATATGTTTCCCAAAATAGGGGGACCCCAAGATAGACCCCAAAATACTACAGTCCTTATTATAGGGACCCCCATAATGGTACCCCTAATTTTAGGAAACCCCCATATATAATACAATAATATTTTCGGCTCATACGGCGACCCCTAGATAAATTGCATCAGGAGCAAGGCCGATTGCAGCAGTGGTGGTAGGAGCAAAAGCAAAGATGATGGTCAGCAAGAGATGTATCAGGCCAGCAGTGGGGTAAGAATGCTTCAATATAAGGGATGACGGAACCTTAGGAGAGGATATTGTTCTAAGAACGGACCTTTGTTGCAGGTGAGGTACTTGCAGTGTTGCAACCCCTGAACAGCAACGTACCAAACACCAGGCGCCCAAGGTCCTGCGGAGTCCCTGCGGCCTGGCTTAAACTTCTCTTGTTTGCGCTGGCTGGTCTCGTGCCCAGCCCTTGAAACATAGGAGTCAGGACAATATTTCCAACGTAACGCAACGTCCTGAATTTGATGGCCATCATGGTCCCTCGCGGATGCACCACTAGCTAAGCTGTACGCCTCTACGAGGTCACGCCTGTGCTGCCGACCACACCCCTGATAAGCCCTGGAGCCGTGCTTTGGGGGTCAAAGATGAAAACGACTTTTTGATATGTTTTTGGGGCTTCCCCGCGGGCTGCGCAGGCTTTGGGGAAATTCCTTCTGCCCAGCATCATCAGCACAATTGGGCATTCGTTTCTCCTTCTTTCAACACCACGACATACTCATGGTTTTGAAGCGGTGCTAGATTCGCATATGTGTGGTATCAAGACAGAAACGAGGGGGGCCTGCAACTCATGATGCTGGCTGCGTGGAGGCTCCTTGGGCCCGAAATGCGCTGGTAAACCCTAGAAGCAAAACACTCACAACACGTGCTGTCCAGCAATTGTTGTGGCTCTGAACACCAGCAAAGGGCACCAAAAACCAATTGTTGGCGGCACTTGCGCTGCATGATAAGCATGCCAGCACACCTGCATGAATTACCGGGCCAAACCCTGTAAACTTCGCATTATGCTTGGTTGTCCGGTTTTTTGCCAATATTGGAGGCTGCTGGTGCACTGCCTCAACCTACGACATATGTGCAAACATGACACAAAAAAGTGGCTTGCGCAGTGCAACAGATTGAAAATGTGGATGACAGCATGACAACTTGTGTCAACACCGCATTAACAGTGCTCCAGATGGTTTGTCGCAGGCTTTCTACCCAAAATGGGCTACCGATTGTGCTGATGATGCTCGTGCACGGAGCTCGCTCCGTACAGGAGCATCATCAGCGCAATTGGGACCCCATTCTGGGTCATTCTCTGTTAAACCAGATAGAACAAGGCCTTCCAACCCGAAAAGAAACACTCCAAGCTGCAAGAACATGAATCTTTGGACGCTTCTCTCGATCAGGAGCATGAGCAGGGCTGGGGTGGGCTGGTTTTGACATGATGGCTGGATGAGCGAGGGGGCGGCGGCCGGGCCGGCACTTGCCGCAAGGCCCGAAATTCATGAGAAATACCAGTGCTGCGTGCGGGATGCACGAACCCGCACCAAAACACTGTCAAAAAACATCTTAGCCTCGTACAGTAATGGAACCCTAAACCTAGCTCAAATTGAGCGATGCCAGTCCTCACCCACAAGTTGAAGGTTTAAGGGAGTACGGCTAGTTACAAATAATTACCCAGCCAAACGCACCTCCGCAAAACTCTCATGCTGCTAATCTACTTGGAAATTTGTCGGCGGGGCAATTTCTTCCTGGGGCCCAATGTAACAAAGTGGCTCCCCCACCTAAGTAGCGTGTTTTTGGTGGTTGAACCTCGTAAGAAAATAGTCCTTATATAAAATACTATACCCCAAAAGGAGGATATAATCTTACTCTATATTGGGTACCAAAGTATCCCCAGATGAAATACTACTCACCTGTTTTTAACGCCACAACAGTAAATATTCCCTTGTCAATACCATTCTGCACTGGGAATATTGCTCGAAACCAAGCCGTAAACCCTAAACTTCAAGCCCTGCTGAGCCTAAACCCGAAGACCTAAGCTGCAAATACTACATGCCGAGTCCTGAAACCCACGTAAAGCTACCGTTGAAAATCGGGTCGTTGGGCCAAATCCTAAACCCTTAACCCTATGTTATCCCTGTATAACTCCTAGATAATCCATAACTTCCCCTTCGATAACAAATTCGGATCCCTATACAGTACCGTTGCCTGGCTTTTGGGCTCTTTTGAACCCTAAACCCTAAACCCTAAACTTTGTGGTCCAGTCGCTTCCCAATCGCCTCCACGGCCCATTTGCCTGGGCTTGGGGCTTGGGGGCTAGGAAGGCCCTCCGAGGATAGGGTTTAGGGTTACGCTTTGGGGCTTGCGATTTAGGGGTTTAGGGTTTAGGGATGAAGTACGGTGTAAGGGTCAAAAGTTGAGGGTTTAGGTTTAGGGGTTGTGAGGTTTAGGATAGGAGATTATGGCTTCAGGGTTCAGGGGTTGAGGGTCTGGGGTTTAGGGGTCTAAAGTGTCAAGTTTTGGGTTGGAACGGTCGTGTAGAAAGCGCAAAGCTCAGCGCCTCTGAGCTTCTGGAATGCTATCTAAACTAGGTGCCCCAGTAACCCCTGAATTATAAGGGTACCCTTTTTCTTGCTGTTCTGTTTTAATAAGGAGACCCCAAAATGAAAAGGGTAAAAGGGGTACCACTGGGGTACCTAGTAAAACCGACAGTGATGTCCCTGCCAAGAACTCCACTAGAGGAACACCGCCATCGTGCAGTGTGATGGGCTTAGGGTTTAGGATTGCTCAATTCCAAGACTCTCTGCCCAAAGCCCATCCTACCTGCATCTTTGTGGGTAACTATGAGCATATTGTAGGGGGTCTAAATACTTGCAAGTATCATCTTGAGGTCTATCTGAGGTAGCCTATGCCATGCTTAAACGAGGCATCTAGTACCCTAACATCCCTGCACCCGGACTCCCCATCCCAAAAGACCTAAACCCTAAACCCTAAACCCCCTAAACCCCCTAAACCCTAAACCCCCTAAACCCTAAACCCTAAACCCTAAACCCTGAACCCCCTAAACCCCCTTAAACCCCAGCACCCAGACCCATGAGCCCGGACTCCCCATCTGAAAAGCTTAGGCGCTTGCGCTGTAGCTGCCCTTGCCAGCCACTACCTGAGGAAGCACACCATGCCAGGGATCACTTTGGGCCGAGTTTGGACTCTCATGAAGATAGGGTTTAGGCTTTAGGCTGTCTAGGTTTGGGGATTCTCTGCAAGTTGCAGCGGCCAAGTCGGATACCCAAAAAGAACCCTAAACCCTAAACCCTACACCCCAAACCTAAACCCAAAAAGAAACCATGAGCTTGATAAACCGGAAACAAGTCTACAGCAAACTGCATATAAGCTAAGCTAGTCCTGGCCTCAGGGTATAGGGTGTTTAGGGTGCAGGGTTTAGCGTTTAGGGTTTAGGGACCTCAAAGCCCGGTGGCCGCTTGGGGTTGTGCGCTTTACAAAAAGGAAATAGCAGGAAATCACCCTAAACCCTTAAACCCCTAACCCTAACCCTTAAACCCTAAACACTTAAACCCCCACCGTGAAACCCTAACACCCTAAACCTCAATCAAAAAGAGTAGGCTGCCACTTCTGTCCTGGTACTTAGGCTTGACCACCACTGTGATCGCTGCGCAACTTGTGATGCAAGGGGTTTAGGCTTTAGGGTTGCAAGTTACCATAATGGGTACATAAGGTAATTAATAGGGTTTCCCCACTACAGTAACTGAAAAAAAATCCTCAACAGCAACCCAGTTTAGGTTTATGGGTGGCGGCCCCTTGGCTAACACCGTGGCCCCCCTTGTACCTCAATGGCTGCCTGCAATGATGGTTTAGGGTTTAAGTGGATTTAGGGGTTAAGGGTTTAGGGGATTAGGCGATTCGGGTTTAGGGTTTTAGGGTTTAGGGAGCCTTAGGAGATATCATCCTGTTTCCCACGGCACGATGGTCGTCAAGTTTCAGCCAGAAGGTGGCCGAGACAGGGACGCGATGGAGTAAGATCTCACTCACGTTTCATTCTCATCAGTAGTATTCGTGTTAAAGAACGTGTTCGCCTTACTGTTGGTGGCACTAGTAGTTGTGCATGTGTGTAAATATCTGTATACATATATATATATATATAGCTGGTTGTCAAAATTA